CTCAACTGATCCTCCCGTCTCAGCCTCCCAAGGTGCTGGGATTATTGGTGTGAGCCAACACAAGCACTTGTTATTATTTAACTCTTGAAATATATAAAAGCATAACATTTGACTGTTTTTAGAAATAGGCTTTAATTAATTCATTCTTGAAGTAATGAGTGAAATTTCCAACTCATCATTTTTTTAATGCGACATTTGATCTGTTGTTAGTATATGTGAGTTTTGATATCTACTTTTCTGTATTAAAATTTAACGTAGTGTCTTTTCAGATTCCCTTACCTATAAAAATGTGACTATTTCTTCACTGATTAAAACAAATAATCTAGTTTGTTTGGAAAATATTTAAAATAAAATGAACTTTTAGAAGCAGCAGGGTAAAGATTATTAGTACTCTGGTTATTTTATTTGAAAAGTTCCAAAGGAAATTTTGGTGCCAGTGAATTTAAAAATGTCCTCTGAAATAATTTTGCTAAGTCATCACATTTCTAACATATTTTTTAAAATGTAATTTAATTTTTGCCAGGTTTATAAACTATTCTTGCCTAATTAGTTTGTATCAGTAGGGTTGGTAGATCTAAATCTGTTTGTCTGTGAAGAATAGATTAAAGGCCATTTTTTCCCTAAGTGTATCCTATACTCATCAGCATATCTTTTCTCACCCAGTGGCAGTCTCTGTTGTTAAGTTGTCAAATGTGGCTCACATATTATCCTGTTTCTATTTAGAGTGCTTCTCCTGGATGTTACATATCCTGATTTCCTTTATTTCTATTTTTTAAAATTGATTTTATATTTTAGAATAGTTTGGTACATTTGCTATGATTAATGAACCAGTAATGATACATTGGTGTTTACTAAAGGCCATAGTTTATTGAGATTTCCTTAGTTTTTATCTAATGTCTTTTTCTGTTTCTAGATCCCATTTATAATACCACATTACATTTAGTTTTCATGCCTCTTTAGACTCCTCTGGGGTGTGACAGTTTCTCAGACTTTCCTTGCTTTTGATGACTTTAACAGTTTTGAGGAGAACTGGTTAAGTTTTGTGTAGGATGTCCCTCTGTTGGAATTTATCTGATGTTATCCTTATGATTAGACTGGTGTTATGGGCTTTTGGGAGGAAAACCACAAAGGGAAAATGTCATTGTCATCACGTCCTGTCAAGGGTAGATCCTATCAACACGAACTATCGCTGTTGATATCGACCTTGATCACCTGGCTGAGGTAGCGTTGTCATTTTCCTGCATTGTACAGTTCTTCTTCTCCTCTTTCCATGCCGTACTCTTTGGACGGACGTCCTCTGCTCAACCCCTGCTTGAGGAGTGGGGATTTATGCTCTACCTCCTTGAGAGCAAAGTGTCAATATAGATAATTTAGAACTTTTCTGCAAGGGGGATTTGTCTTTTTTTTCCTCGCTTGCTTATTTATTCAGTCACTTATTGATATCAGTATGGACTTAAGGATATTTATTTTATACTTTGGGTTATAGTTCACTGGTACTTTATTTTGCTGCTGTAATAGTTCCAGCTTTGTCTATTGGGAGCTCTTTCAGTTGACTCATATGTCCTTTTGACACTCTATCAATATAGGTTTTTGATTTGAGCACTTCCTTACTTCCTGGCACTTTAAGGAGTGCTGGTTCTTTTTATTGAAGGATCGTATTAGAAAACAAGACGTGGGTGCTAGCCGTGCTCATTGCTACTGGAGTTGTTGCTTCTAAGCCCTCTCAGTTGACAGCAAAGAAATACATGTGTGTATACTAACCTATTCCTGTTGCTCTGTGTCCTCACCAGCATTTTGACTTAACCTATTTCAGTGTCCAGACTGATAAATGTGTAATAATAGGTATGTTTGTTTTAAAGCTAACAAGCTGAAAATATGCCAGCCTATTTAGTTAAATGCCCTTACCTGTTGTTTTAAGAATGTTCTCCTTTATGTATATCACTGCAGTTGTGAAAAGAAAAGAAAAAAAAAAATGTTCTCCTAAACTCTCATCCCTTCCTCTGACTTCCATTTAAATTTATTACATTTT